ACTCAAATCATGTTTATAGCATCGCATAATCAACATCTCTCATTCAGATTCAGACTTGTTAGACAAGACTCAATCAGCTTTGTCTAGATTGGACTAGACAACTAAACTTTTACACAGCTTTAGCTCAAGGTATCCCTCAATACTTGTTTCTACACTTGGGCAAGCTCGGGCTACTTGCCCTTTAAAACAACCTAATAAGGAACCCTCAAAAGACATCCATGCATCCAATATCAAAGGCATCTTGGTTTGAGGGTTTGTCGAAAAAGTTTTCAGAGAACCACCATTAGCCGCTAACTGCCAAAACTGATGGTTGCCATTGATAGCCACCAATCTTACGAGGCCACAAATCTATCAATAGATTGGGGACCCAAATAATGCCAAGGGGAGATTCACCAAGGAAAGGGCTCCTTTATAAAAAGCAATATGGGCTTTTTTTACTCTAATACAAACAGACATACTTTTTCATGAAACAATAACACCCCAGTTGGGGAACCTAGAAACACACACTTTTTTTATGCAAGATTGATCAGGATGATATGAGGATGAAATCTACAAAGTCTCATAATTTTTAGACACCCACATAGTTTTATACAATTTTTTATTTTCCTAAAGAGTACAACTTCCATAGGTTACCATGGGTAGTGGCTTTAATGGTCAAACCCCTCAAACATATCACAGGGGATGAGTTTGATTTAATAAAACAAAAAAAATACAAATGTAACAAGTAAATTTTATTTTGGTATGGGGGACACCTTTTTTGGCACAACTAGGACTTACCTATGGCAAGTTCGAACCTACAACTAGATTGTCCAAACTTTGCCAACACTTGCCATGGGCTAGCCCGAGGTTGCTAACACTTGCCACAAGCTTTCTTGAGACTGCTAATACTTGCCACAAGCTTACTCAAGATTGTCAACATTTGTCACAAGCTTGTATGAGGTTCTCAACCTTTTCACGAGCTTTCCCGAACCTTACTAACACTTGCCCTGAGTTGCCAATACTTTCTTGGACTTTGTCAATACTTGCTACAAGCTTTCCTAGACCTTACCTACACTTGTTACCAGATTGCCGTAAGTTTCTAACATTTGCTACAAGCTTACTCGAATCTTGCCAACACTTACCACAAGCTTTTCTAAACCTTTCCAACACTTGACACGAGCTTTCCTAAGGTTGCCCATGCTTTCCACAGGCTTTCTAAGTGTTTTCAACACTTGCCTAGACCTTAATCCTTTTTATTGCACATTATGCAACACGCCACTTGTGCGTATGTGGTTTTTGAGGGTTCATAAAAAAAAATAGGGGACTCCATTTGAAGCCAAAGGGCCTTCCCTGAAAGAACAATATGGGTATTATCCAATCTAGCATGAACAGATGTACTTTTTTGTAAAATGACAACAACCCAATTGAGGAACATAGAGACCTCTAGTTGGCATGATTTTTTGCTAGCTTCCTAGGGATGATATAAGGATGATATATGCAAAGTTTCATAATTTTTAGACAGTCATATAATTTTTTAAGATTTTTTTATTTCTCTATAAAGTGCGGCCTGTGGTGATGGCTTTGATGACTAAAGCCCCAAACATGTCAAAGAAAATGAGTTAATAAAACCAAAAAAATCACAAACGTAAATAGTATATTTCATTTTGGTACAGGAAGGACTTTTTTGGCACTACTAGGACTTGCCCATAGCAAGTCAACTGAATTATATTACTTATTAATCATATAATTTTTACTTTTTAATTTTATAACAAGACTTGTGAATTACTAAACATTACTCGTTAATCTATGACTCTCTAAATTCAACTACATTACTTGTTAATTTTATAATAGCACTTGTTAATTTCGTAACTTGATTTGTTCAACAAGAAGAAAAGATTTGTTTAATCCATTAATCCAAAATGCAACTAAATTACTTGTTAATTCTATAACAAAACTTATTAATTGCCTATCATCAATTGTTAAACAAACATATAATTTATATAAAAATTTGAATTGGCCAGACAATAAAAGTGATGATAGTCAGATCTCCCTTATCAGTATACAACAAACTAGATAATCAATTATATATATATATATATATATAGAGAGAGAGAGAGAGAGAGCAATACTTTGAAAAAAATAAACAAATATACTATTAACAAGTAAAATTAAAGAAATGACAAGTTATATTAGGCTTTTAACACATCCACTTCTTGTCATAGTAATCAAGAGATTTGAAAATAAGGTTTATTATATATATAATTTTGAAGGAGTCAACAAATAAAGTTAAATAATTAACAAGTACTATTGAGAAATTAATAAGTTACGCAATTAACAAGTAACATAGTTTAATTGAAGGAGTCACAGATTTAACAAGTAAAGTTAATTAACAAGTCAAGTTGAGGAATTAACAAGTAAATTTATATAATTAATAAGTAATGTAATTCAATTGAGGGAGTCATGAATTTAACATGTAAAGTAGTAAAAAGTAGAAAAGTTACGTAATTAATAAATAATGTAATTCAATCGAAAAAGTCATGGATTTAATGAGTCAAGTTAAACAATTAACAAATAATATAATAATTAAGAGATTAGGAAACAAGGTTTGTTATATATATAATTTTATGCATAATATGATTAAGTAAATTCAATGGCTTGGTGGTCCTTAATCTTTTGATAAGTCAAGGGATCATGGGTTTAAACTCTCCTTTTGTCACCTTTGGAGAATTTAATTTTTCAGCCACTACCACCAGTGGCTAGTAGTCAAAGCTTCAATGACAGAGGTCTAGTGACCATTGATGTTAATTGGTCATTTTCTTCTTCTTTTTTTCTTTTAAAATAAATTAAGGGCCTTTTGGTCATTTCCTATAAAAGATAATTATAATTTAATCTCTTGGTCCTGCAATATAGTTTCATATTTTGTTGGGTCTGATTTGTGAATAAGTCTCATTCCTGATTTTTAAATAAAATTCTCCCGAGGATTAGCAAGTTTAATTTTATTTTACCATGTATGAAAAATTCCATTCCACTGAATAATCATTATCAATGACAATTATACGAAGTTTATTGCAAGCACAAAATCTCATGACGTAGTAATTATAAATAATCTTGATATTATATATCAGTTACAGAATTTTTTATTTTCGGAATGTGTACAAATCTATTTTGAAATAAAATAATTATTTCATACTATTATAGAATTTTAAAATCATTTCACGGGAATAAAGTATATTTATATCAAAGTTCTACACTCATGTGACCCACCATGAGGACCAATGTGCCGGCTGTAGAACAATTTTTTCTTCTTTAAGAAATTTGTATTTTTTGGAAATGAAAAATGTGTCGCTAATATATTATAGAAAAATAAAATCAATTATATCTATTTACTATTCATCTAAAACAAATGCAGAGGAGACTTTGCCAGTGACAAAATCTATTAGAAGTTGGTGTAATTTATTATATCAAATAAATACAATACAACAATAATTAAAGATAAAATTACGAGAAAAATAAAAAAAATGGCAAGTATTACCATTCCAATGATAAGTTTGCTTGAAATTATCATGCCTCGAATAGATTGTGTTAATATTGAATTTTTCTAAAGACACCAGAAACTTGGTGTGTGATAATGAATTTCTAGGCTCCCAACAGTTAATGATAAAGCTCAGTCCTCAGTGGATTTTTCACTTTATCCCCTGCATCACTCAAATGGATGAATTTCAATGATAAACTGGTAATCGTACAGGCACTCAAAATTAAGGTTCGTGTTGATACCTTGGTGGAAATTGTCAATCAAGGCAATGAAACTTGAAAGCCTCATTAATAAGTAACATTTTGATATAATTTTTATATTTGGAATAAAGTTCAACCAAACATACATTCCCATTTCTTCTCTTCATGACATGTCAAGCAAATTTATCTCATTCCATCAAGCCCGTTCACATTCTCATAAAATATTTCACACCTCAATCTCATTCCCCCTCCACCTAGAAACTATCTTACAATAGTGTTTTGAGACCTGAATGACTTTTGACAATCAGACCGGTTGGACTGCCACCTAAGTATAAGAGCAACCCTATTTGACTTATTATCCCTTTTTTGAAATTGAATCATTTTGAGTCAAGAAATTTGGAAGAATCACTAAAATCCCAAAAGAATCTATCAATTTAAGTTAGGTCTCAAGTGTCAAATTTTATTAATTTACAACTCAATTTTTAATTTTACAACTTCGTTATGATAAATTTGCAACTTATATTGCAAATTTTAACAAAGAAAATATTTTTTTTATTATTCCATCATGTTAAAATTTTAAAAATAAATTATAAATTTATCACAAAGCAATTGTAAAATTAAAAAATTGAGTTGTAAATTTTTTAGAGTTTGACATTTAAAACCTAATTTAAATTAATTAATTTTTTTTAGACTTCTTTGTCATTCTCCCAAGAAATTTTGACAAAACCAAAATTAACATAAAACCCCAAACAATTGAACAGTTTTGTCGTTTTAGCTTTTTACTTTTTAGTAATAAATTTTTTACTCAATTTAAAAATATTAATGTCAACTTTCTTTTTAAATTGTTATAGTGAAATTTTAGTGAATTATTTATTTATTGGCTTTATATGAATTAATCCATAGATAAAATTGAAAACTTATTTGTGTTAAAAGATAAATGCAGTAAATTAAAAAAAAACCTATACAGATGAAAAACGAGGAATTAGAAATTAAGTGAACAATTTTGAATTGGGAATGACATTGTTGGAATTTTTAATGTTTTATTTACACCTATGTATATAAAAATTATTTTTTTAATGATGTCTAACTATTAAATCATAAAAGCCAGCACCTACCTTTTCGGCTTTTCATTCAGTTTGGTTTTCAAAACATTATCCCACATTTTGAAACACAATTTCATTAGAGCCAAACATAGAAATCCACGGCACACCCAAATTTCCGACTTGCCAAAAGGGATGCCATGCGCAATGCTGACTGATGCATACAGTCCAACAAATGTAAATCACAGATTCCATTGAAAAGATTAGTTTATCCACAAAGAAAAACACCTTTATCTGTGCAATTATTTCTATTTGATTACAATCACCCAAAGTAACTGAGCAGATAATAATTAAGTAAATTAGATTCCTAATATCATTTTAAATTATCCACAGGACTCAAATTAGACTCCTAATATCAAAGGTCTCTGTTAGGGGAATCTAAACCTAGAATTGGTACAATATAGAATTTAATTCCTCAGGACTCACATTTTCCATGTATGATTCTTAAACAGTTTACGACAATAAAATAGAGCCTAACCCCATTAATACGGTCAGCTTCTGCTCTGGCGGAAACGTAAATCGTCATTGACAAGAACAGATTTGAACTCCTCAGAATGTCATTTGATGTTCATTGACTTCGTGGAAGCCCAGCCAGTCAAAGATGCCTACAAACTCCGATAGTCTATCACAGTGACTTCATCCTCTGGAACATCCAGATCTTGATAACTACACCACCATCGATAAAACTTAGACGTTAAAAGCCAACGACAAACCAACCAACCAGAAGAGCATCACCACGTTAGTCCAAGAATACAATTCACACCCACCCACCCGCCCACCTCTACATCCATTAATTTCTCAGCAACCTTCTTTCTGTCGTTTAGATACCAGTCCAGCATTGCCAAATGCCCAATATTAGTGTTCTTTTTCCAATCTTTTGGCCATAATAGCCACTAAAAACATAAAAGGAATATTGTCCAGTTGATAAATTTTTCCTTTGCCCAAGAAAGTATATATTAAGAGAAGAATCCGTTCTTTCTGTCGTTTAGATACCAGTCCAGCATTGCCAAATGCCAATATTAGTGTTCTTTTTCCAATCTTTTGGCCATAATAGCCACTAAAAACATAAAAGGAATATTGTCCAGTTGATGAATTTTTCCTTTGCCCAAGAAAGTATATATTAAGAGAAGAATCCGAATACGGACAAACACCCAGAAATCAGAAGTGACATTAGAGATTGAAGATGACAGAAATGGGCAGAGATGGAGGAGTCCAAAATAAAATGCTATAGTAAGCATCCAAAGAAAGGTCTATTCACAACATTTACCTTCGCATCCGACGGGGATCAGGTCTAAAAGCTGGGGGAACAGCAATTATTGGTGCTGGTCCCCCAACATGAGAGCCAGACTGCATTTTCCTTCCAGAGGCATCATATGAAGATGCTCCTCCTTGCTCTCTTAACATCTGCATAGCAACTTCGGGGGGAGCAGGAACAAAGGGTCCCAATGGCCTGTAGTGTTACAAGTTAGTAAACTGAAGAATGAAGTGCCCCTGACTACAAAAAGAAAGGATGATAGGAAAGTCAACCAACCCGGCACCAGGTACAGGCATCAAGACTGGCGGAGGTGGCGGCATATCTGAGGTAAATGAAGAAACGGCAGCTCCAGCATATGAATCATACATAGTTTCATCATGATTTCCCATCCCATGAGATGGGGAGTTATAGGGCCTATCACCATCATCCATTCTGTCACTTCTTTCATGGTCTCGTCGATTGCCACGATCATCTCTCAATCGTCCTTCTAGAGGTAATCTGTGTCCTATAGGTTTGTCCTTCTACAAATAGAACAAAAGTACTCCATAATAATATGAAATCATCCCAGATTCCTAAAACATCAAGTTAGGTATAGGAAACTGCTAAAACTAGAGAAAACAATGTTTTCACAGAACAAAAGCATAAAGATAATCCAAGTCAAACAAAATTCAGAATATAATTTTCTTCCAGCTATATATTTGAGATGGATAGCAAATTCTACCTGTGGTAGCTGCATGATAGGTGTTCCGCCAGGAGCATCTGGGTCACTATAATAATAGCAAGGCCAGAATAAGTCATGCACCCACTAACACTTGCAAAAGTAACCCCCAGCCAAAATAAATAATTTAAAAAAAAAAAAGATCACTGGATACTTACTTCATGTAGTTTTGAAAATAGAGCTCCTCACGCACTTTCAATGTTAACTCATTTACAAGCTCTGGATGTTTTAATTTAAGATGTTTGTGCACAAATTCAGCAGCATGGAAAAGCTTTGTACAGCCCTTGGCTCCACAACCATACTTCCATCCATACTTTTCGTCCCTGATTTTTCTAACATATGGATCTAACACTTCAACTGCTGCAGCATCAATCTTCTCCTTAGCTGTCATTATTTCCAAAGGATCCTGACCACTCAACCTTCCCTGCCAGAATGAATCAAGTTTTTCTTCCCAATCGGACCCTGATTTACTCGATTCTTCATGGCCTGTTAATTCTGGCCTCACATGCCTAAGACCCTTAGGCTCATTGGTCTCAATCATGCCATAATAATCAACCCCATGAATCCGCCAAAGATAAGTAAGAATTGTATCCAAGAGCTCAACACCTTCTAATCCCTTAACAGATGTTAAACCCCGTACAATTATTATGGGACCCAAACATCCACTGCAAGGTTTATCTTCATTTTTGTTGTGATCACTGCTGGATAAAATATTATCTTCAATCCCCTTTTCAGCATCAAGCTTATGTACAAGTGCCTGAGCCTGCTCAACATCTGCTTGCATTCGTCTAGATTCAGAACTTATCAGGTGAGCCTTCGGAGCAGCCAGGAAATCATTTTCTTCATTAGGTCGCCTACCATGCTGCCTTCGTTTACCACCAGTGTCCACTTCCTCCTCCGAATTTGGCTCACTTGCTCCCCCTAGTTTGCCAGATGAAGCATTTAAACCAGGATTCCTGTAACAATTGTTACACAGTTTGCATCAAAGAATTAAATTGAAAGCAAGAGAAGGGGAGACATGCAAATGTGCCTCTACACACACGCAGACAAAGAAAGAGGATAAATGAAAATACAGGTCTAGTGTTCCACTCTGCAGATTGAGCAAGAAATCCTTCGCCAGCCGTCGTGCATTTTCATTCCTCCTAAAATACAATGTAGAAGATAGAATCTATTACACATTAAATATCTTATAAAGGCTGAATCCACTGCCTATCTACCAGTAATCCATGAAGAAAATACCAATATATGGTCTTCCAACAAGGAGAGGACAATATGTTCAGTTGTTCATTAGCCTGTAAGATTGATCAATGCTCACCTATCAATGACTGCAACCAAATTTGTTGGATGATATTTATCTCGCAACCTACATCAAAAAATTAAATTATTCATAGACCCAACTAAGAAAAGAAATCCATATTTATACAAAATAAAGTTTCAAGAATGAATATAAAATTTAGAATATAAAATATTAGTACCACTCTTCATTCTTGTGAGCATTAAAATAAGCCAGTTTCTGGGTTGAAATGTATTCTGACTTATACTCCTGATACCTAAAAAATTCAATTGGATGTATCATCAATGTGAATCTCTCTATGAATCTTCAGTAATTGGATGCTTACAAACTGTGTAGAGGATGTTCTTTGCAGAACATACCTACGCTCTGCTTCAGCTGGTAATACATCATCCTCAAGCTCTTGAATAAATTGCTTGTAGGACATTAACCCTTCCCTGAAAAAGCTCAGGAGCATTTTTTATTTAATAAGTTAAAAACAAAGAAGGAAAGCAAAGAGAAGGATCATAATATGTGAAAAACAAAGCAACGTAAGAAGGCAATTGAATAAATAAATATATAAAGTTGATACATTGCGCCACATCAATGCACAACCAGTAGCACATAAAGTGCATGACTGATGCCCAATGCACACTCCCATCAACAAAGTAAGATCAAGGTACAGCGATTGCTCTGGTCTCAAAGGCTCTTGAAATACCCTAAGGTAGCAAATGAATAACTGATCAGAAGATTCAAATTTCAAAACACAAATGGATGCTGGAAGTTCACGTCTACTAGAAAATATGATATTGGATGGGCCAAGAAGGTATCAAGGATAACTAACCAGCCCTTTAATTTTTCAATGGGGTCCACCAGTAATAAATGATGACTTCATAAAAAGAGGGTAAGTGTAGTTATTGAAATAATGCCTCAGGCTTTTAGGGTTGTAATATTCAGAATAAATACAGCAGGGAGATAGCAGAAAACATTCTATCTGTAAATGTTACAAAATCAATCTATGATGAACAGAATAAATAATAAAAATACAGCTCAAGCGGCTAAACCAAGATGGTTTCTTAGGAGAGCCTAAGTAGGTTAAACAGAGTAAACAGGCCACCATATACAAGGACAATAACAGTGAAACACACCAACACTCACCCTCAAGCTAGAGAATAGATATCTATCATTCCCATCTTGCTACATAACCTCACAAAATTCTTCCTTGGAAGAGCTTTGGTGAGTCAATGTGCAATCTGACACTTAGAAGTTATATATGACACCTCTATGACCTTTCTTTCAATGTTCACTCTAACAAAATGTCTATCTATACAATGTGTTTGGTACAATCATGATAGACAGGATTGCAAACAATCCCCATTGTGGTTTTGTTGTCATGCCGTCACTGCATTAGCAGCATGAAGTCAATATGCAGCCCTTCAAGTACCATTTGCACCCACATACCTTCACAAATTGCAAATGCTAAGGCTCCAAGTTCTGATTAAGCACTGCTTCCAGGCACCACAGATTGTTTCTTGCTTCTCCAAGTAACCAGATTACCCACAAACAGAGGTGCAATAGCTTGTAGTTGACCTGCTATTTTTGAGGTCTCCTCAATCTGCATCAGTGGATATTTCAATTTCCTTGTTGTTTCCTTTTCCAAAATATATTCCTCTACCAGGATTCCTCTTCAAGTATCTTAAAATCAGATAAAGTGCTTCCATATGCTATGCTCTTCTCGAGGGTTATTTGCAAATTGGCTTGCCACAGGTGTGTGATGCGTATCCTTTACCTGTCACACACATCTGGCCCTGTGTGTGACAGGTATAAAAGTTTTCACACCAGTTTCTTGTATCTTTCAATGTCTATGGTATTCAATCCTTCTTCTGAATCAACTTGGTAGATGCATCCACAGGTGTGCCAGATGGTTGGGCATTGAGCAGTCCTACAGAGAGTATTATCCTAGGTAATTATGACTAATTAAAAGCCCATCAACTTGGCCTAACCTATACGACATATCACAGAGGAAGCATACTTACAGACTTGTATAGAACCTATAATATAGTTTATGATAACCTATTTCCCATTCTAACATATACCAAAGCCTATCTCAAGAGATTTGGAGATCACTCAAATGTCTCTTTGATGAATTAGAAATTATGCTAGCTACATTTCCAACCTCAACCACTCATCTACGGATAAAATTCTTCATACTATATTCATGTTTTACAAGGAACACATGGTACATGACAGGTAGTATTTGCTCATTAGTGGATTCAAGAGAAAAAAAGTATAGAACTGACCTTTGTGCACCACTGATTGGTAAGTCTGCACAAGCACGATTTGATTCTAGTTCTAGAGGAACATGCCAAAAGCATAATAAAATTAGGTTCAAACTTGACAACACATACAAGTTGAACAATACAAAATAATTAAATATAAATAAGAGCAACTGAGTAAACCAAACGGCAACATTTCCTAAAATATCAAACTCAACAATTAAAAAAAAAATTAGCATGCAATACAGTCTTTTCTATTTTTGGCAAATCTATTTTTTATCAGGCCACTACTCCAACTTACAATAGAAGAATTCAAAATTCCTATTTAAGCACTGGATATGACTAGACACAAGCTCAAGCAATCAAAGTCCAAATGTCCAAGCTGTGGAAAAGGCAGATTACTACTGAAATCTCTGTATCATGTACAAGAGAGCCAATGACCTATTTAACCTGGAATCCCATTTTGATATGCACCCATTGATCGATGGGTGAACCTTCCAAAAGACCTCTCTTCTGCATAACCAGGCCTTCCACCCACACCTCGTCCATAGCCGCCAAAATAATCATAGCCAAGCCTGCTTTGGTCACATAATGAGGTAAAGTAAAAAGAAAAGATTATCATCTGATATGATAAGAGCAAAATATAGAACTAAAATAAATCAAGAAAAAATCAAATCCAAAAATTATCAATAAAACATAGGTTGTCTCATAGTCTAGCTGGTTGTCAAATTGAGGGCCAAACCAAGATCCACATACATGCTAAAGATTTGGTGATTCGCATGGTTACCAAGCATTTAGACAATTGAAAGGTGCCTTCCTTTCTTTACACAGTTGTATCTCCAATATGCAGAGTCTCTTATCTAGAATTTCTCACTCTCTTTCTATTTTGGAATCCCAGTGTATGTAGCTTTGAGGCTTAAAATAAGATTCAGGAGTGGGGGATTTTCCTTAGGTAGGTGTGATGTCAGGTTATTGGTTTCCTCAAGAATGGCTTAAGGAAGTCACAGAAGACTTTAGGAGGAACTTTGGATGATTATGAGGAGTATTACCTTTAAAAATTTTCTTCACCTTTACAACATTTCCTTTCAAGACAATGCATCCATTCAAAGCTTTTGTTCCTGAAAACTCAAGTCTTTTGGAATCTCCATTATTCTAGAAACTTGAGAGGCTCCATATGGTTACTTGGAAAAAAGGGAAAAGGATTCCTTTGAATGAAGATCTAAGTGGACAATATCCATTATACCCGTGTTATTATTACCCACCTATAACAACATGTCTTTTTATTATTTATTCTCTGGGAATAGAAACGATAATATTCTCATATAAGTCTCTCTGTTTTTTTTTTTTTTAATTCCATTTCCATTTTCCTCACCAAAAAATGCCTGAGATATGCCAAGGATTTACAGTTCCTTCTACTTCTCCAAGATTCCATCTCCAAATCAGATGAAAGAATTGGAACGATTTTGAAGGTTCCATGTCACATAAGCCTCCTTATCATTTATTACGGTTTTTCTTTTTTCCCCCTTGTCAAAGAAAGTAATTGTAAGGGCAGGATGCTCCAATACTTGATCACAGAGTTTCATCTGTGAAAAAAGATATTACAATCTATGTACAAAGAATATATCGAGACTCCTTCGTAGTTGGGAATATTGGAGCATAAAATTAAGCAAAATAAACTTTCTGATAATATATGGCGAAAAGAGTTATCAATTGTTGCAATTGTTATTAGTATTACCAATAGCACTAATTTAACCTCTCGGACATTACTTATAGCATCATTATCTTAATTATACAACTAGGTTCCAAGAGTAAAGCGAGTAATGCGAGTTGCTTTCAACTAATTGTAAATATGAAAGGATTTGTACTTGCTCAAGTAGAGAGGTAAGAAAGCCATGAGACCTCGCTGGGACAAAGAAGATGGTTCTGACTTCCAAGTGAAATAAAGCTCAAGGGAAAATAAATTCTAAAAGAAAACAAAAAAGGGATAGCTTTCACCAATGTCAACAAGCAATAATGATGCAAGAAGAAATAATGCTCCTTCATCTTAAACACGTAACTTAACCAATAAAAATGATGATCACCATATGGATAAGCCTTGACCATGACATGCCAGAAACAAGTTGACTTGCTCTCCTATATATCCACAACATAAAAACACCTCTTTGCCATTGCAAAAACATCTAAATTAAACTTCCTCACTGCTATAAAAATGAAGGAACCCAGAGAAATGACCGCAAGATCAAATGCATCTTACACTACTTATCTTCAATGCCCATGGATTAATTATTTAACACACGGATAATGAAAAAATTGGGGTCAACCAATCTACAATTTGCTCCAATAATTATTTTCCTCCCTCTTCATCAATTCTCCCCAATCCAAACATATTTTACTTTAATGAATAGAAAGTTAGATTTGAATGTAATTCGACAAAAAATCAAACTGAAAATTTCAGTTTCATTCCCTTAACCATTATTCTAATCAAACCCAGAATTCACTAAAGCATCAGCAGAAGTCTACGTACTCCATGCAGCCACTGAATTCGAGAGTAACTAGACTACCTAGCTTCCTTGTGCGACTCGGCATCTCAATGTTATAAAATTTCAGTAAGCAGATAATTAAATGAAACCAATTCGAACAATTACCAGATGACTACAGTTTTAGCAGTTTCAGTTCCATATATAAGCAGTCCAGCAAAACTAAATGTCATCACCTGTCATCGGGTCCATAACCGCCTCGGGGACTCCCCCTTCTCAGTCGCTTATATGGTGGAGGAGAGCGCCGCGGAGGAGAATAACGTCGGTCGCGATACGAAGGGCTAGGGCTACGGCGGCGCTTAAAGTCCATATCTCTGTCTCTGAGAGGAGGCGCCGGCGGCGAGATGTTCCTATCGTAGTAATCACCCCCACGGCGATTTGGATGCCGATCGAAATCCCTATCATCCCGCCTATCCCTGGAATCTCTCTCCTTTCTCCGGGATGAAGAATGTGGAGCAAGAGGAAGAGAAGATAGCGGCGGCGGCGGGGGGAGATCGTCATCAGCTGACGCTGGGGCCGGGGCCTGCGGCGGTGAAACTGAAGCAGAAGCGGAGGGAGATTTGTCGAGAGAATCAAGAGGCATGTTCATGACCTCTGCCATGGATGGCAACGGGATAAGCCCTACGAAAATGAAGAAAATGGAGAGGTTGAATTGAATTGGAAAATGTGGGCAGAAAGGAGTGACGATACAGAAAAGCTAGAGGGAGAAGCGAAGAAGGGGCACTATTGTTCAGTTCTTTCTCTGCGTTCCGGGCAGGTAAGGGGACATACAGCTGATCGGGCTCGACAGTATCGACCAACACGACCACAACACTCGACCCTTTTTTTTGTTTTTGTTTTTTGTTTTAGTACAGAGCCACGCTAAAATCATGCCAAAATCAACGCCAATAATGTTAAAAGCCATAAAATTTATACAACTAGAAGACCGACTGTCAAATTATCACATCCGTGCGATGTAGACCACGTGTGAAGTAGAGGTTCAACCTTCAAAATAAAAATTGATTTAAAAAAGTCACTGTTAAAATTTTATGATAAACTATTTTAAAAAAATAAGGAAAAGATAGTCCGCAAAAATAAGATGAATTCAGGAGTTAATTATGTGAGAAAAGTATTAGGCACCACATAATATCCGTTTATGAGAACGATTATTTAAATTTATTGTGTTTAAATTATATGGCCATTTGTTTTAAATTCCTATTCAATTGTGTATAAAATATAAATAAATAAAATATTTATTTAATTACAAGGGGATTTGATTTAAAATTAACTTTTGAAGCCTACATATCCTTTTTTAGGGATTAAAGTTTACATAATTTAAGATTAGAAGTTGTGAGTGAAAATATTTTTTGAAGATAAATTAATTAAAAATAATTCACTATTTTACAAATAAAATAATTTTCTAAAATATGTATATTTTATATTGTAAAAAATTATTTTAATTTTAATTATTTTTTAATTTTTAAATTTTTAAAATAAAAAAAAGAGTTTAAAAATTATTTTTTACATTTTATTATTTTTGAAAAATTGAATTTCTATACCTGTAGAGCCTTATTGGCTCGTACGATAACGCTGTTATTCTAAATATCTACGAAGATTTTAAAATCTCACACGATAAAAGAATTAAATTTATTTAAATATATTTTTATTAATTTACTAGATTTATTATGCATGTAATGTATATTTTTTTATATGAAATCCTAATCATTATACCTACTGAGCTTTATTAACTCACGTGGAAATATGATTATTTTAAAGGTCTATGAAAATTCAAAAATCTCACACTACTTAAAAATCTCATTAGTAAATGTGATTATAATTTAAAACACATTAATTTAATTTTATTAGAAAAATTTATTATTTTATTTATAAAAATCATTTATTTATTTAATATATACAAATTAATAATCACAACATCTGTGAGGACTTATTGTCCTACATGATGACGTGATCAATTTAAGTCTGTATGAAGATTTTTGAAATCTCATATGAGACTTAAATATTTTATTGATTTAAATTATAAAAAAAGAGTTAATTTTAATGGTGGGTCATTGGAACCCAAACTTAATGTATACAAAATTAATCCTCACACTTGCAAAATCTTATTGATTTAAGCAGTATGAGATCATTTTAAATACCTGCAAAGATTTTTAAAATCTCACATAACAAATAGGTGATCAAGATATTTGCATTTACTATAGGTGCATAATATGAATTTAGCATTTGAAGGAATAGATAAAGAAACTATTGATAAGTGTATATTCTATAATTAAATAGCTATAGATTTTAGTTTGAATTTGATTATATTTATTAAGATTTCATATCTATTTAATTGATATTTATATATTTTTTCCCCCATCACTTAATTATAAGATAAAAAGGAATTTTAATAAAAAATTCACTTATATCTTTTTATCTTTATATTTTGCAGAGAAAAAGAATAACCCAAATAGAAGGAAAGAAAGAAAAGAGAAATATATATATATATATATATATAGAGTCCCACATCGACAAGGAACAAAAGAAGGAGCCTCCACTTTAACTATAAATACTCCTTCCATCAATAGGGAAGGCATCCAATCACTTATCTGAGTACCTCAAGAATTCTCTCTGAGATATTTGAACCTCGTAGAAGCATGCTAAAGGCTGAAAGCAAGATCATTGAGGAGTTTTACAAATTATAATTATTTCTTTTTTACTCCTTAATTTTCTCTGTGATCATTTTTCATGATTGAGGATTTTAGAACGATATTATTTAATTTTATTATGTGTTTTTAAATTACCCAATTGGGATAAAGATGTAGCCCAATTGAGCTAGTTTTCTATTTCCTTTGTTTTGACTCTTTGCATTTATATTTATAAATTTTTTTATTTTTTTAATTATATTTATTTCTTTCGTTCTTTATATTAATTTAATAACTGGCCACTATTTAATCAAATCTATGGGTAATTTTGATAGACTGGGAGGTGAAGAAAAAACCTAGATCTAGAGAAATAAACATAAATAACTAGGCTAGAGATAGTTCTAAAAATTTATGGTGACTTAAACTATAGCTTCACGGTTTAATTAGTTACTTGGATATCATGAGAACGAATTCAACACTAATTAAAAAAGGACTAATAATTTAGGAGAATATTAGGACACTTTAGGAATAGTTATCACTATAATTGATCTGAGTCAACTCAAAGGATAAAAACTAACAACCTATAGGGTGAATTCTAAATCCCAATGCTTCAAGTGATTATGTTTTCATCTTCATTATTTTCTTTATTTAATTTTATTCTTTATATTTTCATCAAAATTATCCATTTTATCTATTTTCTTGAATTATTAATTATTTATTAATGTGATCTCATACACTTGCGAGAGCGTTCAAGTTTTTGGCGCCATTTCCAGGAAAGTCCCAAATTTACTAACTACTTGATTTTTAGTTCATTTTAATTTTAATTAATTAATTATTTATTTATTTTTATTATTTTATTATTTTTTTATGCAACTGAGAAGTTCTGGTGATTTAAATTTGATTCCTATTAATCTAAAAATTGAATGGTTTTACAAGAAAAATAGATCTCAGAGAAGAAGAAAGATAGGTGATGAAATTATTCTAGAGCCATCCATTACATTTATAGATATTCAATGCCCATTCATCACATCTAATCTATCATGCATCCAACTGAGTACGAGAGCGCGTAATTATGAATTTATGAATATTTACTTAAATGCACTACCTAATTTCAACCGGCACCAAACTGAAGATGCCTTGGATTTAATATGAGAACTATATGCGGTAATTGATACACTACCACTAAATAATCTATCGGATGATGATTTAAAGCTGTGTTGCTTTCCATACTGTTTAAAAGGAGAAGCTCGTCAATGGCTTCTATGATTATCAGAAGCTTCTATAAGCTCTTGGATGGAGATGTATGAGCAATTTATATTGAAATATTATTCTCCTCAGAAGACTTCAAAATTAAGGGATAAGATTCACTTCTTCACCCAGCAAAATAGTGAATTGTTCCATGAGACCTGGGAACGTTATAATCTCCTCATAAGCCAATGTCCCCATCACCAATTTCCACAAATACTCTTGATGGATTATTTTTTATAATGGCCTTAATGTTGAATGCCAATCAAAAGTTGATAATGCAGCTCAAGGTGATCCAAGTAATATGACAGTTGAAGAAAGGGAGGAGATTTATAAAATGGTAGCAACAAATTCAAAACAGAAGGCAGTTTGAGGAAGGAGAGCGATTGTTAATGAAGTTTCTACATCAGATGTCTCACATGAACTACGGGATTTAACAAAGAATTTAAATTTATTATTGAAAAATTTTGGTTCTATTAATTCCCTTTCTTCTACTAATAATTCTCTTCATATTGGTTGTGATGGTGACTATTTGGAGGAGGGTAATTATATGAGAGCTAGTAATGATTGAGTTAATTTAAGGAATCACCCATACTCCAACACATACAACCCTTGATGGAAAAATCATCTAAATTTCTCTTGGAAGAATTCCTCTACTTAAGGGCCATAAGCACAGCTAGGCTTTCAACAACAAAGAAACACAATTGAGTACAAAGAAGTTGGAGGAAGCTTTAGCTCAAATGGCGACTTACCAAGTGAATAACATGAAGAGCATTAATCAAGAGATTGACCAACTAAAACAAACAGTTACTTCAACTCAAGCTTTTATGAAGAATATAGAATCTCAAATGGGTAATTCTTTGAGGAATATAAAGACTCAAATAAGCAATTTGGCTAGCTTAGTTACTGAAAAGAGTCAAAATAAACTTCCAAGCAATACCGAAGTCAATCCATGAGAGCAAGTTATGGCAATCACCATACAGAAGGGTAAGGAATCCTAAGAGGTCGATAGTAGAGCTAAAAGTGGGCATTCTCCCTCTGAAGCCAAACCTTATATGCCCCCCATTCCATAACCCGAGCGCCTTCCAAAAAAAGATCCAAATTTAGGCTTCCAAAAATTCCTTGAGATGTTTAAAAAAATTCAAATTAATATTCCCTTTATAGAGGCATTGACAAAGATGCCTGCTTATGCCAAATACATCAAGAAGTTAGTTTCAAATAAGAAAAAGTTAGAAGAATATATCACGGTTACACTTACAGAGGAGTATAGTGCGATTCTACAAAAAAAAGCTACCACCTAAATTGATAGATCCAAAGAGTTTCACTATTTTTTGTGATATTGGTTGTAATATTATTGAAAATTGTTTATGTGATTTGAATGCCAGTGTTAACTTAATGCCTTATTCTTTATACAAAAAACTTAGTATAATAGATATCAAGTCGATTAATGTGACTCTTCAACTCGCATATAGATCACTCAGATATCCATATGGTGTAGTTGAGGATGTCATAGTGAAAGTCGGTAAACTTTATATTTCTACAGATTTTATTATTTTAGACATTGAAGATAATTGGAATGTCTCACTTATATTAAGAAGATTATTTTTAGCCACTGAAGGTGCCTTTTTTAATGTGCCTAAGGGAGAATTAATATTCAAAGTGGGTGAGGAAAAAGAGATAGTTAAATTTACTAAAGCCACTAACCTCCTTATTCTTAAAAAAATCTTTATGCAGCATATAGGTGAACAGGAAGAGGAGAAACACCTAAAAGACCCTCCCTTACATACTTTAGGAAATAAAGAAGAGGAAATTAGCAATGGAGAAGGGAGGGAGCTACAAAGGCAACCTACAGATCTACTCACTAGTCCTCGCAAAAGCTCTAGCACTCATATATTAGAATCAAATTGAAAAGTTCCTTGCTCATTAACAAGAACCCTCTCCAAAAGGAAGATGAATGTTAGTTGGGTAAGAAAGTGTCTTCTA